GAGCTCATCTGTACAGCTCCGCTATTGCGAGCTATCCATGGATCAAACAATCACTCCGCGACGCGCATCCTCGCGCTCCACCGTCAGGAGCCATACACAGCGAATCACTCGACATTCTTCTCCACAACCACCCCTGTGCATGCCGGCTAGTCCGGCCCTCAAGACACGATCAGCACATATTCCTGCAGACGTCACCCTCCATACCAGGCATATGCACACTCACTCACCGCGTACGCATATCACCGAGCTACGACGCCGGCCACCCGTCAGCCCCCGCACCCGCCGATTTTCCGTTCCGTTCGGTGCCTGTTGCCTTCCCTTGAGAAATCCACTGCGTTGTTGCATGAATGATGAATGTAGCGACGTTGACCGTCGTAATGTTGACCGAAGGTCGTACGGTCACAAACGGCCGGTGACCGTCGAAGGTTGACCGAAGGTCGTACGGTCACAAACGGCCGCTATACCCCCTAAGATAGTTCTTCGAACTACGAATTGGCCAACTATAAACTCGATTATCTTGATAACTCTAAATGGTTCATAAGTATCATTTTGTTTTGGGTGGTCTCAAATATACTCAGCTTACAATCTACCTTAAATTGGTCACTTCCCTTTCGGTAAAAGGGGACCTGTGAACTGCCGTTCACTGAGAGTTTGTAAACTCTCGGAAGCCAACTGTGTGACCCCGTCACATAAAAGGTGCTTTGGTTTAAGAATTCAGACCTCCGTTCAGATCGTTGTAACAAATTTGAAGTTTAAAATCCAGAGAGCAAGACTTTTTTAGAGCTTTATGCTACCGTATTCCTTATGTGATTGGCGACGCTCGGTCATTAGCGACAAATCCAGCAGCCAATCAAATTGATTTAAATTTCGTGTTGTCGCGCTTTATGTGCTTGGCGACCAATATAATTTTGAGCATGTGATATAGTTTTTTCGATGCAGGTATCTTTTATGCTGGCAGAAAGGCTGTACCACCTCAAGAATTTGACTGTCGCCAATCACATAAGGAATACGGTAACTCACAAAGTATTTTTAAGCTTAAAACCTTAACCCCAACAAGATTTTTTTAAGAACAAAAAGTGAGGACCAAATTTCAGTGGCCCTGATTGATGTGTCCTGCAGATTTATAGTCAAATGCAAGGAACAAGATAAATGTTTGTCATGTCTTCTTCGTTATCCTTCACGAACTTGACTCAGTGATAATCGAATCGGCTTCACTACGCTACTTGAAATCTTGCACTCCTAAGACTGATCTCACTGAAGTTTGTCCTAAAGTTTAGGACACATTGCTGTTTGCTCGGCTTGTCACCTTGACTACTGGCTGCAAGCGCAATGATCGTCGGCGATGCCTGTTCGTTAAGCGAACGCTTGGTGCTCGTCGATTCGGAGGATCCAATACTCTGGATCGCTTTCTAAACGGAGGCGGTGCTCTGTTTTCGTTTGACTTGGTTGACTTGAGATGGTGTGACCTCTTGCATGGTTCTGGCAGCTTCCTTTCACGATGAAAAATTTCGAAACAGGACTCGCCATCACTCCATCTTGCTGCGCGACAAAGTGAAACATGGCAGATATCACACTCAAAGCTTGTTTTGTACCCTTTACGCGTGTGATTGCCATTTTCACTGTCGTGATTCATTTGACAGCAGATAATGCAGCATCTCTGACGTGCACCCTGGATCCGGACCTGTAGTTGAACGGTTTGATTGGATACATTATTATGAGCAGATGAAGCGACAATTGTCCCGTACCTCATGGTGATCATTACTTTTAGAGAGCCGAAGATGAATCCACTCTGTGGATGACTCGAAGTGATTTCGTTTGTTGTACGCGAATGAAAGTTCCAATGTCGGTGGACCTGACCGATTCTCCTTGTTTTGAGCATCGCTAAGTGGGCGCAGAGAGCCTGCCTTCTTTGAAAGCACAACAGCAGCTTCTCGGCAAAATGCGGCAAAACTGGGGAGATTTTGCTTGTGTTTCTGATAGGCCTTGTAGCTTGTACATAGTCCTCGATTCATCAAAAAACCGTGTGACTGCAAGAATCACAGTTAGAACCCATATTCTGCGCGCGAATTGTGAGCTGCTAGCTACCTGGAATAACAGAAACGACTGGTAGGCATTGTACACTAGAGTCATGAGCAGACGAAGCCAAATTGTTGCACTAGGTGTCAGTCGGAAATGCTTGGACTTGACATTCTTCAGATATCTTGAATAGACATCGATCGCCCCCCCCTTGACACGATTCCACAACGCAATTAAAGTTGGCATGATATGCTTGGCTGGAGAATATGGGTTTTGCCGCTCGTTGATAAGTTTCACTAATGCCCTCCATAACCCCAGGGTTTGTACCAGCGTGGCTTGATCAACACAGTGTCCCAATTGCTCAGTTTCAAACTCGGGAATGCTGGCGGTTTCTGTGTAAACCCACTCCATGTAGCCCAACGCAATTGCCTTCAATGCACTCTAATAAGTGTGAGATGCACTCTCGCTCACGACAACGTGAACAACTCGAATGATGTATGTATAGGATGCATACACAAGGTATCCATGTGTGATACCACTGCAAGCAATGCTGTGCAGTATCTGGAGGCGGTGACTGGACTCTGGAATCACTGCGTTCAATCGGAAGCCGGATCCCATACCAGTCAATTCTACTGTCGTGAATATACCATAAGCTTTAGCAGCAGCTTGTTCCTGCTGAACTGTGCGAGCAGTAGCTCGAGTTTTGTACTCCATTACTGCATTGACTCTCTTACATCGCACAGACACGATGGCAGCAATATGATCCGGTGATAAAGCAGCTACTGGCATATTGCTCCTAGAGAAAAAATTAGTTTCTTGTCAGACCCGATTATTATTTTGCTACACTTACTTGCACGGTAAACCGTATTCTCTGAGCTCCTCGATATGATAGTGTGTGTGTATATCCAGAAATAGCGTGATGTGCGAGGCAATATTGACTTCGTTGGCGGTCCCAATCTTTGTAGATGGTGTTGAAAACGGCGCCATGAACCAAGTCAATAAAAAGGGCTGAGTCAACTGCATATCTGGAATCTCGCCGAATATTGCGACCAGGAGGAGCCTCCCCAGCATCATTTTGAAGAAGTCGAGCAATTAATGTTGCTTTGTTTCCAGATACACGAAGTCCCAGGTCACGGCATAAGGTTTTTAGATCTCCCAGCGTTTTCACGATTAGCTCTGCCTCAAGCAGCGGTGCTCCTGCGTTTTCACTGCTTCTGGTCTGGGCACGACCCGGCTGTTGGCGATTACTTCCCAATGACAGTTGCAGTATCACTGCCTGAACATCAGGATCATCGACTGGATCACCTCGGTTACCATCACCGTAACTGTGAGCAATGGCGCTAAATATTTTTGCAGCAACCGAGCCTGTAATGCGAAACTTCCTGAGTAAAAACCAATCTGTAGTTCTTTGCTCCATCGTCAATTTCTGAATACCGTCTTCAAAAGCTGTAAACAACTACTCCCTACGAAGTGAGACTCGCTTCAGTGTCCGTTATACATAAGACCAGTTATCAGGTCCCGCGCTGGCAAACGTTGTGTAGCCTAATGCCACTTTTCCCAGCCCTGACCGGTATGCAAGTGCGTGTGCATTTGCAGGAAGCATCCCTGGTTGAACTGGTATACGTTTGGTGGCCCAATACGCAGCACGATCTCCTTTCTCTAATACTAATTTTTGGTACTGACTTGGTGTTTTGCCAAATGTAAAGGGAAACTTTTGTGTGCGCTTATGGGTACCGATGATACTTCCACCAGTGTCAACAATTTGTTGGTTGACAGCATGAGACTGATAACCTCTGTCCAGCGCGTGAAGAATACCTGGTAGTCGAATTTGGTTCTCCGTCGATGATCCACAGAGTGATCTCTGAAGAATCCTCACAATGTCCACGGTTGATTCGCCGTTGGCAGCCACATGTCCACCCAAAACCAAGCCTGTAACCAGCGAAACCACGCCATGCTGCACTGGGCCGTATCTGCCAAACATTCGCTTGGTAAGATCAATTACCTCACAGCATAACACGATCATTAAGTACAGTACCCCTTTTTCGGGTTGCGCACGTGCGTAAGGCCAATATCGTCCACTGCCTTTGAGCGCAAGCGGATCAAATCATCATCTAATGATGCTATCGTTGTTCCATCCACAAAACCAATGTCTGCGGATAGCCGCCGTGCGAGTTCGTATGCATAAGAGATGTCTCTGTCAGGTGTGAGCGGTGCCGTCCATTGGTCGGATCCTCCTTCTTTTGTAAACGGATTGCCACTTAAAGCTGCCAAAATAGCGCGATATCTGGGCAGCGGTAGTGCCTCTTCAGCAGGTGGATACAGAGCCCTATGGCTCTCGTCGTAGAAGAAGTCCGGGGCTACACCATAAACACTTAGCCACAGCTCGACCTCAAGAAACTTGTAGATGTCATCTGTAGATGCTGCTGCATAATCAGCCAGGCTCCTGTTCACAAAGATCAGGAGCCTTGCCAGCACAGTCGAATCCAGCCACACGAACAGGAAACTGGAAACGCTAACACCGTCGAGGTGATGCTGTGTAGTACCGAACATTCGCTGCAATATTCTTTTAGCGACCTGGCCAGCTTCTTCACGTGTCTTATCCAGCAAAAACGCATCGACATTGTCTACTTGAATGCGCTGGTTTATCACGTTGGGATACTTCCAGGATCCCAGGACCTCCTCTTCGTCTTCGCTGTCGGATCCAAAGACGTACGGAACCTCTTCTGACGACTCGCTGTCAGACATGATGCCTTGGGTGCTTGTGTAAACGTGCAGCGCGACGAGCGCTGCGGGAATGCGGAATGCGGAATGCGGGCGACGCACGCTAGCGGAGTGACCATCATTCTTTTTTGTCCTTAAAAAATGGGGTTAAGGACAAAAGTGACGTGACTTTGTGCGCTCCAAAAACGATTTGGTCCTCTTTTTAAGGACAAAATTTGTTGGGGTAAACACAATGTATTTTGACCCGCGAAAACAGCACAAACATGGAGTTTCTCGTGCCGCTGCACGCGGCAGACTTGGAGCTGGCGAAGGCGGGGCGGTACCATGTTCAGTCGGTGATGACGTTCGAGGACGAGGCGATGGCAGAGATCTCGGCGCGCATACAGCGGTTGGAGGACCAGGTGTTGGGCAGCGAGGCGGGACTAGAGCTGCTGCAGGAGGACTGGCTGGACTTGACGTACAGTCTCGTCAAGAAGCTGCCGACGCTGTCCGAGTCTCTGCGTATGCGTGTGGTGGAGATGTTAGCGGCCTTTGTGAGCAACGTGACGGAGGGCGTGCTGGCCAGACGCCCAGGCAGCGAGGACGCCGACGACGTCGTGTTGTACCGTAGCGCCTTCAAGGCCAGCGTCTACTTCCTCATCACAGCACTCACGAGTGTCAGCAGTCTTCAAGTACAAGCAGAGAAGGATATCATTAAGCACAAAGGCAAAGGAAAGAGTCAGAATTTGACTATTAACCGCGTCAACTGGAGCAAAGTGATGGAAGGAGCCATCCACAAACTCAGTCGCTCTGTCAGTCCAAAGACTTTTGCTATGTGGAATATGAATGTGCCTGAGGAGGTGAGTGGGGCCTCGTTGATGCTGCTACAGCTTTGGGGAAATATCTAAAAGAAAAGAGAAAACACTGACAATTTGTTGACGGCCTGACAGGAATTCTCCATGCTGTACTGTAAAGTGGTCTTCGAGCTGCTGGGCAACGCCACGCTCTGTCGCGGGAAGTCACTCAAGCCCAAGCTCTTCCATGTAAGCTCAAAGTTTTCTTCTTTTTTTTCTATTTTATTGTGGAAAGCTGACAAATTTGTGGTGTGTCTCGTGCTGTAGCTTCTGGCCATGAGTCTACAGAAGGCTCCAGCTATACACATTTCTGTGGTGGCTTCTCTCATCGATCTCATCTACACGCACGAGCACTTGAGCGCCTCTATCGCCGAACTTGTCGAGCTGCTGTACTTCAAGTATGCCAACATGACATTCGCGGCGGATCTCATCAGTGAGATCGGGAAAATCTCGTCACGGGACGCATCCAAGGACGTGGCTGGCACGCGGAACATCGCCATGTTCCTCTCGAGTTTGTCGACTCGTACCCCGGCCTTGATTATGGGGAATTTGAGCTTCGTGCTGGCCCTGCTCGACTCGGAAGCGTATCAGCTCCGCAATGCTGCTGTGACGTGTGTAACTCAGATTTTGCTATGGAGTTTCCGTCAGAGCGGGCAGCATCAAGATCCGGAAGAGCCTGAAGCTGCTACAAAATTCAAGCAGAAGACACGAGAGCAGAAGGAGAAAAAGGATCAAGAGAGCAAGAATGACGACTTGGACACTGGGGATAGTAGCGAGGACGACGAAGGCAGTAGCAGCGACTCGAATGACGGACAGGAAGAGGAAGAGGAGGCTGGGAAGGCCAACGAGGATGCTCCGCGTACGTTTTCCCGCTCCACACGTGACCAGCTGCTCAGCGTATTGGAGGATCGCACGCATGATGTCAACTCGTTTGCGCGAGGCCACGTATTGAAGATGTGGGCTCTGCTGTGCGAGGAAGGAGCTCTGCCGCTGCATATGCTCAAAAACGTGACGTTGATGGCGGTTGGACGGCTACAGGACAAAGCGGCGGTGGTTCGTCGTCACAGCATTCACTTGCTCTCGTTACTGCTGGAGAGAAACCCATTTATGGGCAATCTGGACCGTGCATTCTACGAAAAGAAGCGGGGCGAGCTCGCCCAAAAGATGAAGAAGAAGCGAGACGAGGTGATTGCCGGCGCGGAGAAGGAAATGAGTGAAGCGATGGGGGATATTGCCATCCAGTCCGAGGCAGCAGCAGCTACTTGTACGTCTTCTCAACCGGCCGTCTCGTCAGAAGAGCAAGCTGCTGCGTTGGAGAAGGATTTGCAGACGATGGTGCGTCTGCTTCAGTTTTACCAAGACGCTATCGACTTTATTGACGAGTTTGAGTTGCAAGCTTTGCCTCTGATGGGTCAACTGCTGGGGAGTAAGTCCATTTCAGATGTGCTGGAGGCGATCCAGTTCTTCGAGAAGGCCTACCGCTTCCATCTTGGTGCTGCTCAGACTGGAATCAGGAAAGTTTTGCCGTTGACGTGGCGATCTGATGTGTCTATTCAAGAACAGCTGTCCAATACGTTTGTGGGTCTCTTTATTCGCATCGATGTGGACGATCCGGAGCGGAACTCGCCCCAGTTGGTGGCAGAAAACCTCGTCAAGTTCTTAGACGAATGCACCGTCGCTGAGTACACGTGTCTGGAGCGAATCATGGGGGAACTACATGGCAGTCAAAAGGTGCCAATGGTGGTCATCAGCGCTTTGTGGGGGCTTGTGGATGTGGCTGTGTACCCCATTTCAGTGGTGAGCAACGCGCTGGTTCTCCTGAGTATGATCGCCAATATCGATGACTCGATGCTTTTCTCTAACGACCGTCTCGGTCAAGTTCTTTCGATGGGACTAGGGGAGTTGGCATGCAGCCCGGACTCTCAGTACCGCGTTCTTGGGGCAGCCTGTCGTTTGGTGCAATGCATTCAGTTGGAGCCAAAGGCTGCGACTGCCAAGTGCAACAGTCAGACACAGCGGCGCATTCAACGCTCCAACCTAGACGCGACAGAGCAAATCATTCTTCGCTTGCAGCGCTTCCTTGCTTTGGATTTTGTGAGTGATGACGGGATTGCACTGGAATGTCTGCATTCGACGTGGTTTGACACGGTGCAGCAAGCGATCGAGGCCATTTTCTCTATTTGTGAGCGTCCGGAGGAAGTTTGTGGCGATGTTATCAAGCATTTATCGCTGCGCCTGTTCGAGAGTGAGACGGACGACGTTTCCCGCGTGGAGCTGGCCCACTTTTTCTTCGTCTTGGGCCACTCGGCTGTAAAAGTAGCCATCCACGTGGAGAAGCTGGCTGCGAAAGTCAAGAAAATGCGTGGCAATCGCAGTGCAGCTGCGAGACCTGCTGATAACTCAGGGTCAAATGATGGTGAAGACGTGTCTGCGATGGAGGACGAGCTGGGTGTGGCAGCGGAGGTGGAGGCTGAGGAAGACACATTTGTGCACAATATCATTCAGAAGGAGATCGCCTGTCGCAATCTACTGGGAGTGTATGGCCCCCTGATCATCCGAGTATTGGTGGGCAAGGAAGAAGAGTTGAGGGGCGACAAATTATTGACGGAGTGTGCCGTGGTGGCGCTGAGCAAGTTTATGGCCGTCTCGGAGGAGTTTTGCGAGAAGCATTTGCAGCTCCTGTTCACGATCCTGCAGGATTCGCCGCAGCCTTCCGTTCGAGGAGATGTGATCATCGCTCTGGGTGATCTCTCGTTCCGGTTCCCGAATCTGGTGGAGCCTTGGACGTCGCATCTGTATAATCGGCTGCGAGATGTGAACCTCAACGTCCGCAAGAATACAATTGTTGTGCTTTCTCACCTCATTCTGAACGACATGATCAAGGTGAAGGGACAGATCAGCGAGATTGCCATCTCGTTGGTGGACGAGAATGACGGCATCCGTAGCCTCGCCAAGCTTTTTTTCTTTGAGCTGTCCAAGAAGGGCAACAACCCCATTTACAACATGCTCCCAGATGCAATTGGCCAGTTGTCTACAAGGTACGTTCTGCTAGCAGTGGCTGCGCGCGCGCGCGTGTGTGTGTGTGTACTTACATCTACCTGGGTCCTCCTGCATGTGTCTGTAGTGAACTGGTCTCCAACTCGGACTTCCAAACGATTTCTCGCTTCCTCATCCAGTTCATCACTAAGGAAAAGCAGATTGAGAGTATCGTTGAGAAGCTGTCCCAGCGGTTCCCGACGGCGTCCAAGATGCAGCAGCAGCGTGATCTGGCCTATTGCTTGGCACGTCTGGCGCACACGGAGAAGTCCCTTAAGTATTTGTACCAGAACCGCAAACTCTACAGCGATGCACTCCATGACAACTCGGTAGCTGACACCTTCACGGCATTAGTTGCAAAGGCTAGGCGAGGCAACAGCGCGCTCACAGCCACAGCCGAGATGAAGGAAGCGATTGACAAGTTGGATCAGTTTGTCGTTGAAACAAAAGAGGGTAAGGAAGGGGATGAAACCATGGACGGAGGAGAATCGACCGAGCGAGCTCCATCACCAGTAGCCAAGGGCAAGGCGAAGCGTAAACTCTCCGCCAAGGCGGGGAAGACCACGCACATCACGTCAAGGAAGAGAGAACGAGCCAAGCGAAAGACTCGCAAGCCGAAAGCGACTCGTGTCGTGAGCGAGGAGGAGGATTCGTCGGAAGAAGAGTAAGGTGGTCGTAGTAGTGTAGTACTACGTAGTAGTAGTAGTAAAGAGAGACTAAAATCGTCGTGAATATTCCACTTGCGCATCAAATCAAATGGTACAATGCCGCTAAAAGCGATCGTAGCAGTCCAGATAGATAAGGTTCCTTTTAGCCTGAAAGAGGCTGCCGGTCTGCAGCCATCAAGCTCGTGCAGGCGGTCAAGACGCGCAGAACTTCGTCCGGACCTTCGAGATAGTACTGCGCGCGACTGACTTTCATGCCCACTGTGCACGTGTAGCAGTTGCTGCCCTGGACAACATCGAACATATCTTCGTCTGTGCGTTCATCTCCCAGAGCCAGAATGAAATCAAAGTCCAGCGCTGTAAAGTACGGCGTCTCGCTCTCGTACTCCAGGATGCGACTCACCGCGCGGCCTTTGTTGACGCGCCACGGGCGAATCATGACGTACTTCTTGATCCGACACATGACGACACCAACTGGCAGGTCTCGCAGCATTTGGTCAAAATGGAGCTGCATGTCCTTCGCCTGCTTTAGCCCAAACGTGGGGTCAGCGTCTCGAAAGTGCCACGTGTAGCAACAATCCTTCACGTCCAGGAGAGACCCAGGAGTCCGCTCTGTAAAGTGCTCCAAGATACTTTCTACTTCATCACGCCACTCCAGCTCCACGTCACTGAACATACATTGCCATGGAGCTCTTTCGAAATTTGCTACACTCTCGCTCCCCATGGCGGAAGAAGACGAGCTGGCCAGCGGGCTTTCTTCCGAGAAAAGCCGGACTGGAATCGATTCGGCCGCGTGTGGTGAGTCTTCACTTGGTCTACCAGTCACGATATCCCCACCACTATCTGTGCTGAGCGTTGACGGGTGCTTGGAGGCGGGACGGAACCAATAGCCATGCTCTGCAGCCAGTCCGACTCGTGGCAAGTGTCCAAACCATTCCTATCAGCCAGTTAAATCGTGAGTTGAACAAAACAGAGACTGAGAAACAAGCATTACTACCTGCAGTCGATTCTTGTTCCTCCCACTGATGATGTATACAGTGTTGTGAGGCGTAGCGGTCAGATCCTCCAGACATGACATCAAGGCTGCAGAAGGTTCCGCTAGTTCCTCCATGCTCTGGTAGTTCACTAGTGTGCCATCATAGTCTAGCAAGAATAGGCGTCGCTGGCTTCGTTCGTAATACCCGAGCAATTGTGCAGTATCCAGCTTATCCAGACGATTGTATTCTTGCGCAGTAGCGGCAGCCTTGCATGAGCAAAATAGAAATAAACTCTCTATCTACACCACACCAGAACAAGATCAAATTACCTCGTTCAGAGCTGACATGATCCGTTGAGCCCAGAGTGTCGACGTGTACGTGGTCACATATCGTGACAGTTGGTGGTGTCGAATCCGTTTCGTCGTACTGTTCATTCGAAGCGCCGTGTCCACACTTGCAGCCACTTGTTCAATGTGCATCGGATTCACCAGCAACGCACCCTGGAAAGACGACGCACATCTGTCGGTGGCAACAAGGATTTCGTTAGCACAAAGCTTAAATAAAAAAAAAGTCCTGCAACTGTACCCTGCAAACTCGCTGTAGACCAGTACCCCATGACAGCTTTTCTTCTGCGCCGCTATAAACTCCATCGCCTGCAGATTAATTCCTTCCTTTATGCTGCTCACGATGGCCACATCGGCACAGTTATAAAGCGCCACGAGCTGGGAGTGCTCGATCGACTGTTTCAGATACCGAACGGGGCAGTACTCGGCTGTCCCAAAACGTCCATTCACACGGCCCACGAATTCATTGATCTGTCGACTGAGCATTCTATACTGGAGAGAAGCTGTACGTCCCGCATCCCTCACCACTGCATACAGGACCACTTTCCCTCGGTATTCTGGATAATGTTGAAGTAGATACTCCATCGCCTCCAGCATCTCCGGAATCCCCTTGCAGAAGTCCAGCTTGTGGACCCCCACAATGATCTTCATCCCGTCCTGTTGCCTCTTGAGAATCTCCACATGAGTCTCCACTTTCGCTGTAAGGGCGTATTTCACTGGATCAATTCCCATTGGACAAATACCCAACGAGATGAGGCGTCCGTTATACTCGACACGACTGGGCGAAGACTCGAGGCCCAGCATACGCGTACACACGTTAAGAAAGTGCCGTACATAGTCGAAATGATTAAACACGACCAGGTCGGCGCCTAGAACGCCATGGAGTAGCGCCTCTCGAACTGGCAGCATCTGGAAGAACTCAGAGGACGGGAAAGGGCAGTGAAAGTAGAAACCACACGTGATCTCGGGGAAACGTCGACGCAGGAGTCCAGGCAGCGCCATTAGTTGGTAGTCACATACCAATACGAGGTCTCCGTCCTTGTAGATCTCCGACACAGCCTCGAGAAACTTCTGATTGGCTGAGCAGTAGGCGTCATATTTCTCCCCGAAATTCTCAAGCAAGCGACTGTCCGAGCGCTGCGGTAGCGAGTGGAAAAGCGGCCATAGCACCACATTGCAGAACTGATTCTGGTACAGATCTAGCGTCTCGTGGCCCAGAAAGACGGGGTGACACGCAAAGTCCGTCTCGAGGCGGCGTCGTACTCCGTCCTGACTCGATTCGTCCACATTCGCTCCAGGCCAGGAGACCCAACGCACGGTGTTGCCCTTTCCTAGGTAGTCGATGGCGCTTTTTAGTCCGGTAGCGGATGGAATGTACTGCCAGCTGTCACCACGCTGTGTCTTGAGCATTCGCACACAGCGACGGAGTGAGCACACGATGATCTTGTTGCTGTCATTGGCCATGGGGATTGGGCCGAGCGAAGTGTAGCGCTGCGAGTCTTGCCGCACGGCTGCCAATCGTCGATGAAGGTCATGCAACTGGTCCAGCAGCGAGCTCTCACCCATCTCCGACATTATAATTGCAAATTCTAAAGTGGCTGAGATTTAGAGATCCCTAAACTATCAATGCTATTGTCATCTTAAAAAGTCATCTCGCATAGATAGACCACGTAAAACCCATATCGACAGTTAGATATAAGAGGTAAAATCGTCCGAAAATCCACGAAATTTCCGATCAATACCGGGCACTACAGTCGTGCACCTCCAATTCGGCACCGGTATCAGTCGATACCCTGCCAGATTTTATGATTACGCGAATCGGATGCGCAATTCCCTTTGCCCATCACCACCCTAGCAATTAACCTCAACGGTTTTCCCGATCGCATACAAACACACACTTTTATTTTAGTGCCAAAGACAATGATGGGACATCGCCCTTCCTCCTACAATCCCACAAAAGCAGTCTTTGTGCGAGAAGCACTAGTCAGATCCTGCATGCTCTCACTTCGAACTTGCTCGTTGGGCAACGGAGCGCTTTAAGACCCCTCAAGCAGTAAAGCGCACGTCCAGTGTATTCTTAAGCGGTCGGCGGCAGTTGCCGCCTTGCCGGACGCCTATCGCGACCGGAAGCGCTGTTGCGCGCCCGCGATTCGCGCGTCTGACGCCAAGATTATGCAGAAGATTGGCGTATATTTGGTACTGAATTAACAAATAAAATATCAGTGCACTGGATTTGCGTTTGTTTTTTGCTTTACGCTGTGCACTTATGCACTGGCACTGTTGATATGGTCCGCCCTGCCGAATTGGAGGTGCACGACTGTAATTTATATTACCCTCGTCAAATGAGAAAGGTTACACTTAAGGGAAAGGTTATCGGCCACCTCTGTTAAAAAATACGGCGATCTTATTGGTCGGTCTGCTGTCGACACATGTTTGGCAGCACAAAATTGTGACGGGGTCACACAGCACCTTGCGCTAGAGGAAGTTGGCTTTCGAGAGTATACACACTCTCAGTGAACGGCAGCTCACAGGTCCCCTTCTACCGAAAGGGAGCGAAGTGACCAATTTAAGGTAGAATGTAAACCTAGTATATTTATAGGTAAAAAAAGCATAGGTTAAACCAGCTGACGACGTTGCCGTCGAAGGAAGTGTGGCAGGCTGAGTGTGACGGGGTCACACAGCACCTTGCGCTAGAGGAAGTTATCTTCCGAGAGTATACAAACTCTCAGTGAACGGCAGTTCACAGGTCCCCTCTTTAATTAAAGAGAGCGAAGTGACCTAAATAAGGTAGACTGTAAACTGAGTATATTTATAGGTAGGTTAAGTTTGGGTTTAATACAAACTATTAGTTACCTATAGAAATGCAATGTCATTTAACCAATGGTTGGCTTTGAACGACCTTGGTACCTTGTACCAAATATCCCGGAGTATGACGTGTCATACTCCTGAAGTGTGAAGTGTCACACTTCATGTAACCAGGGTACACTTAGGGCTACGTACCCCGTTACATCCTCCCCCACTTAGGTTCGGTTTACCGACCAATCAGAATGAAGAAGTATTCGTCACAAACTCTCATTCTCAAAGTCGAAAACCATCGACTTGGCCGCGCGAGCGCGGCGGAGGCTCACTTCACAGTTAGAGCCTCGAGCAGCAACCTGTGCGCTCTTCGTCTAGGTCTCCTCTTCGACCGTTATCATGCCTCGTGGCACTGCAAAGAGCGGTGCTAAGACACGCTCCAAGGCTGCTGCCGGTAAGGCACAAGCCAAGAGCACTATGCCTCACGGCAAAGGCTCTGCACTCAAGGAGGCTACTCAGGTGGCCTCCGAGGCGATCGGTTCCTCGGGTGACGCGGCTGTGGACAAGTGCGCAAGCAAGCGCCGCAGTCCGTCGCCCTCGTCTTCCGACAATCGTCCGAACCCTCGATTCGTGGAACGTGAGTTCAACTCGGGCAGTGAGGACGATGCCGAGTCCGAGAGCACTCAGGATTCTCCTGCGGGCTCTGTGGGAGGGCACAGCCCAGTGCCCAGTAAGCACAAAGATGACAGCGTGCAGTCGCCCGCTAGTGATCACGGTGATCACAGTCCCAGGACCTCTGTGCGCTCTGAGAGTCCGGCCGTCAAGGCTAAGGGCGCTCCCAAAGCCGGTGGCGATGAGGAAGAGAATCCTAGCAAACGTCTCTCGCTTGCCGAGGGTCTTGCGCGCGCTAAGGCCTCTAAAGCCGAAGGCGCCAAGCCCTCAAAGAAGCGTACAGCCTCTAAGTCTCCACTCCGCGAGGAGAAGGAGACTCGACGCTCCTATCAGAGTCTCTTCGACTCCTCGGATGAAGAGGAGGAGAAGGAGGAAGAAGAAGAGGAGGAGGGTGCTATCGTTGAGCCCCGGGAGGTCTCAAATGACCTCTACCAGTAGCAGGAGGAATTCCAAGCTGCCCAGCGTGTGCGTGGGGGTTCGGTGACGGCACCCGTCAGCCAGGGAGCTGCCATCAACTCAAGAGGGTATTGGCCTCCCGAGGAGAGCTCTGGGGCTGACCTCTTCTTAGAGGTCCTCGTCGCTCCTCGTGGCCTTGTGGGCGGCCACACTTCTAGGGGCATCTATGAACGAGCCCTTGTTCAGAAAGAACAGTTGTTCGTCGACAACTTGGAGGCTGCTCGGTGTGTGCTTCTCGCGCCACACCGCATTCCTCTTAAGGACTTCACGACTTGTCGTAAGAAGCCCATGACCCGGGGTGGTCTCTATCCTGTTTAGGGATACCCCTGGGTTATGCCCGAGAACTGTCCCACGTGGAGTTCTTGTGAGGACATGTTCTGGGCGTGGGTGGAGACTCTCAAGTACTCACCCACGGAGTTACGGGAACTCCATGAAGATCAGCAGCTGTCCCACATCCTGGACCAGCGTGATCTTCGTGTGAGGTTTGCCCACTTGATCAGCAAGCGTATGCTGCCAAGGGACATCCTGAAGCGCGCGGCTTCTAGCGCTCACGATGAGCGCGGGTACGGAATGTATTCATCGTCCGTACCCCGTTCGGGCAAGAAACCCCGGACTACTTATGAAGCTGCCACCGCTTCTGTTTCCCGATTGCGACAGCCTTCGGGCAGTCAATCAGGAGCCGTTCAATCGGCTCCCACGAGTTCTCGGAGTGGGCATAACCCCTCCACTTCACGAGGAGCTGTCGCTTACCGCGACACCGTTGCTCCTGGAGGATCCGCTCCACGTGGAAGTGGACTTCTCCATTCCGGTCAAGCAGGGACGGAGGTGCCCTCGTACGAGTACGAGTACTCGGCGCCTCCCAAGAGCCACTCTCGTCCGAGTGCTCCGACTGCGGGTCCGACACAGGACCCTGAGGTTGACCGCCTCCGTCAACGTGTCCTCGTGCTTGATATTGCACTTGGCCTTGGGACTGGCGGTAATGCTGCCGCCCAGGCCGGATATCAGGGCGAGCTCGCTCGTCTTGCGGGTCGCCTGGACCTGGTGGAGCGAGAGGTCGCGAGCCTGCACCTGCGGGTGGATCGCCGGGCCTCTTCGTCCGATCTGGACGAGGCCTTTCGAATGATCCGACGGATCGAGGCTTTGTTGCCACGTCCGGAGCCGCCTGCGGCACACTCCCAGACGTACGCGTATGGTGCGTACCCGGCGTACTCGGCGTATGGCGCCGGGGTCCGTTCGTATGGAGCCCCTCCGGCGTACGGTCTTGACCGCAGCCTTGCCGTCCTGACCGAGGTTTGGGTGCGTGCTCCGACGCCCTCGTCGACGACTGTGACCGGCCCTCGCTTTGAGGAGCTGGGTCAAGGGGGGACTGCGAGTCAGCAACCCCCTGCGGGTCAAAGTACCGCTTAAGACGTCCGACATAGAACGTCGGGTGCGTCGTCATTGACTTTGGAAGGTCGATGGTGTACGACGCACCATGTCTGGCCAGGACTGCAAAAGGTCCGATGAAGCGGTGCTTCAGTTTGTTGCTGCCGACAGTGCTAACAGTGTCTAGAGGTAGGTTCCTCGTGTCTAGCAACACTAAGTCCCCAACCTCAAATATACCTAAGTTTCCTCTTCCTTGTTTGTCTGAGTACTCCTTTTGTTTATCTTGGGCCCCTGCCATGGCATCGCGGACCCTGCTGACAATGTTCAGCTTGGTATCTATAAAGGATTCCACCTGTTTCCGCAGCGAAACTGGTCTCACATCCGAGACCTGGGAGGAAAGGGCTTTCCGAGCCTCTCCCCCACTTAGAATAGAGGAGTCAGTGTCTCCTCGAAGAGTGAGAGGCACTCTGGGGTGGCGGAAGCCGTTCAAGTAAAACGGTGTGAACCCCGTGGACGCGTGCACCGCGTTGTTGAGCGCAAACACAACAACTGGAAGCTGCGTCGACCACGTACGTGGTGCTGCCGCGCACACACTGCGCAGAGTGTCCTCGAGCACTCGATTGACACGCTTTGTTTGGCCGTCTGTCTGCGGATGGTCCGCAGTGGACATCCGCAGACGAGTTCCCAGTAAAGGGAACAGCGTTTTCCAAAACGCAGCAGTGAACCGTGGGTCTCGGTCCGAGACAATCGTCTCTGGGAGACCGTGATAGCGGAACACGCCATCGACGAACAACCTTGCGGTTTGTTCGCCCGTAACAGTGACGGGAACTGGAGCAAGATGTACCATCTTGCTCAGCCGACACACGAACACCAAAATTCCGGTGTTGCCGTGTCCGTCGGCGGGAAGCCCACAGATGAAGTCAAGACTCATCGACTTCCAACAACCAGCCGGTACGGGCAGGCTCTGTAGTGGAGCCGAAGAGTGCCCTGCGGGTTTGAGCCGCTGACATGTTTCACATGTCTTGACGTACCGGGCGACCCACTTGTACATGTGGGTCCACCTGAAGGGGTTGAGAGACCGACAGAAAGGTCTTCTCGCGGCCCAAGTGGCCGCTGGAGGGCGCGTCATGCGCCTCCGCGAGGATGTCGAACTTCAGATCCTCGTCGTTGGGTACGACCACCCGTGGAGGATCAGTGGGCTTCGCCCGATAATAGAGGAGGCCCTCCTTTAACTCATATCGGTGGAGCCGTGAGCGCTGTCGCGACGAGAGCCAGTCGGTTTCGCG